GAAAGAGTGAGAGGGTGGACTCAGGTGATGTGTTTGAACGCATTTCAGAGGATAAAGCATAGTTCAAATACAGCTAAGCTAACTACTGTTACTAAACAGAAGTCAACCAGGTTGTATATTAGATTTCTCAAAACAGAAAAACATCTCCAGTTCTTAAATCTTAGCACTTTGCTTTCCTTGACTCCTTTTACAGTAGTGGCCAGGTTGTTGATAGAGGAACATGAATTCTTAGTCAGCTCTTGGTTATAAAATTCCTTTTAGAAAATGATGTTCATGTCTGAGTTGTCGGGGGCCAGTTGAGGAGCATTTGGGACGTTATGTACACAGATTTTCCTCAGGCTGCTATCCTGTGATTCCTGTCACTTAGCCTGTCTAGTCAGATTGGTCACGGGCAGTTTGTGAGTGTCTGAGGAGAGTCACTCTCTTTACTTCCTTGTTTTATATACAGATGGTTCCCACAGAACTGGTTGAGAAAGAATTTTGGCGACTGGTGAGCACTATTGAAGAGGATGTTACCGTGGAATATGGAGCCGATATCGCCTCGAAGGAGTTCGGCAGTGGCTTCCCGGTCCGAGACGGGAAAGTGAAGCTCTCTCCTGAGGAGGAGGTAGGCGTGGCTGTGAGCATGTGGACTTGTGGGGGCGCCGGCGGGGCGGGCGGGGCGCACCGGGGAGGGGCGTGCTTGTTCGCCCCGCCCCCCGCGGGCCCGGAGAGACCGCCCCGGCGCGCGCGGGCAGCCGGGGGCTCGGCGCGCTGCTCCCGGGTGGGCCGGCCGGAGCCGCTGGGCGCGAGTCCCGAGGGGCGCCGAGGCCCTGGCGGAGAGCCTCTCGCGGTGGCCTGACCACAGGGACTCACGAGGCGGGCCTGGTCCCGGAGAAGGGGAGATCGAGTCCCCAGTGCGGCGCGGCCCGCCACGTTGCCTCCTTACGCCGCTCAGGGCGCCGAGCCGGGGCGCGGCCTGTGGAGCGGAAGGAGCGCAGCGACGTGGAGATGGGGCGGGCACGCGCTACCCCGGGCTGTGGGTGCAGAGCCCCAGAGCAGTCCCCGCGGGAGGCAGCCCCAGCTGCCCAAATCCCGAGGGGCGCTGTTGAGCAGCGCCTGGCCAGGCGCACGTGTGAGAGGTTCCACTGGGTCCCAGCCCCAGACCCAGCTCCCTTGGCTTTTCTTCCTCCTCACCTGTCCTCCGCAGGTGGGCTACGCTGCGCTGCTCCGTGGTCCTGCCAGCCCTGGCTGTGGGCTGCACCAGGAGCCCCTGAGGGCAGGCCTCATCCCAGACGCACGGGGTCCACTCAGACCACAGGGTCCAGGGACCCAGTGGTTTGACAAGGGGGTGATGAATCTTTCTCATTCCCCTAAGGACTCTAGTTCTTGGACTTACTCTTTTGGGTGAAGGGGGTACACAGGGGATCCCTAATTTGTGGCACAGTACTAATTAGAGCAAATGCAGAACAACTCCCTGTTCAAAGTCTATACATTTCGAAAAGTCACCGCAAACCTTTAGTATCAAGAACAGCTACGTTTCCGCACATCATCTCTCCTTGTGGCCCCGACAGGCAGGTGACGGAGAGCAGGAGAAGGCAGTGGGTGGCGGGTGAGGAAGGACTCCTGAAACCTTGGGGAGGAGCCCCAGTTCTTCCCACATCGTTCTGGGGCTGCCTGGCTGACCTCCTCCAAAGCCCTGGGCTCCTGGGGCATCTGCGTTCTCCTGGGCAGCACGTCAGGGAGTGATCTGCCCTCTGATAACCCAGCCAATACCCTCACGGATGCCGTGGTGAAGCCTTGCCATGCTGCGGGCCCTTCTGTGTTTTGATGGAGAGAGAGAGAGACGTTGGGGCAAGGAGGGCCAAAAGGGAGGCCGGTGGTCCCCCCTGAAGGCTCTGGCATCCTGCGTGCATTGTTAATACAGAAGGGAAAGTGCAGGGCTGGGTCCAAACTCCTTCAAAGCCTCATGCTCGACCTGGGCAAGTGACCACTCCTCAGAACCTCGGTTGTCACATCTGTAAAAGGCAACTCGAGCAGTGCCTGCCTTCTCCACCATGCTGTGACCACACGAAAGCCCCGGGGGTCATGATGGGCCTTGTTTGCTGGTGGACACCGGTGGGCTCCACCTCCTTTGCCTCTGAGGCCATTGGCCCTCTGCTGACCTCCTGGACGTTCGGTGGTCAGGTGCTCTGACGGCTGGGAGAGCTGGTGGGATGGTGCGGGGGGCTGGGCAGTGTGAGGGGAAAGAGGTGAGGGAGGCATGCTCCACTCATTGACAACGAACAGAAGCCTGGTGGGCCCCGAGTGGCCGAGGAGGGTGGAAGACAGCCAGGAGAGCGGGGCTGGGGAGACAGGGGTGATGCTCTGGAGTCGCCCCCCCACAGGAGGACCGACCAGGATAGAACTGGGATGGCCACTCAGTGGCAGTAGCCAGCGGTGGAGACCAGCCTGCACTGGGCCGTGGGGAAAGCTGGGTGACAGAGGAGTAGGAGGGAAGCAGAGGCCTGGGGAGGGGAGGGGTTCGGATCCAGGACTGTCTCTTTGGGGAAGGGCTGGGGGCAGGAGGCAAAAAGCCAGCCCTACAGGGGAGGTTGAAACCCCCACTGTGGCCCCATCTCAGTCCTGAAGGATCCCAGATCAGGGGAAGGGATAGGACGGGCTGGGACGGGATGGGGAGCCCTGTCTGCTACAGCTGGAAAGGAGGACAGTTACCCACTGGAGATGAGGGACCTCCGTGCGTGCGGGGGCGGGGGTGGGGGTGGGGAGTCAGCTTTGCAGACTCAGAACGCCAGGTAGGGGCTGGGGGAGGGTGCTGCGGGCTCGGAAGAGGGGCTGGGAAGCTTGTTGGCTTGCACTGGTCATTCACACCTAGGCCTTCAATTTTCCTAGTGTAATGGAATGTTCCGGAAGTCCCAGAGGGCTCTGGAAGCTTGGTTGGGAGAAGCTGGTCTCGGGCAGGCAGTTATAAGCAGTTCCTTTTGCTAGAGGAGAAAGAAAGCTTTCAGTCGTTTGGGGCCTTAGTTTCTTGGTTTTGGAAAAACCACCAGGTGGGTCCTTTAACCACTAAAGCCAGTCGCCTGGAATCCCCAGGAACCCTCGGACCCCGGACACTGGGACCCAGGAGCTGCTGGCTGTGCTCTGGGGACACAGCTGTGTCCCTGCAGCTCCCAGCTCTTGCTGTGCTCGGTTTGGTGAAGGTGGATGTAGAGAGAACCACTGCCCGCGCTCCAGATGCACGGAGCGCAGGTGGTACCTGCCTGTTCCTGGGTGATAAGGCAGTTTTGGTTTGTTTAGTTTTTGAATTCTAGAGTTATTTACAGCAGAGGAAGAGACATTCTTTCATTTTCTTCTAATATTTATTTTTAGCTCTGCCTTTCACGGTTGTTTCTAACCATCTACAGATTTTTCTTCTTACACAGTGACGTGATATTTTCAACACAGTTGATCAATCTGTGTCTCCCACTTGTGGTCTCGCTTTGGGCATGAAGAGAAGTGTTTATAAAGCTATTTCTGGATGCTCTATTTTATTCCATTGGTTTGTGCGTTCCTGTGCTGGTACCACACTGTTCTCACATCTATACCTTTGGATTAATGTGCCTTAGTCGCCAGTAAGGTTGGCGCTTCAAGAATTGTCGCCAGTAAGGTTGGCGCTTCAAGAATTGTCTTAATCAGACTTCCCTGGTGGTGCAGTGGTTAAGAATCCACCTGCCGATGCAGGGGACATGGGTTCGAGCCCTGGTCCGGAAAGATACCACATGCCGTGGAGCAACTAAGCCCGTGCGCCACAACTACTGAGCCTGTGTGCCACAACTACTGAAGCCCGCGCACCTAGAGCCCGTGCTCCGCAACAAGAGAAGCCACCGCAATGAGAAGCCTGTGCACTGCAATGAAGAGTAGTCCCCGCTCACCACAACTAGAGAAAGCCCTCACGCAGCAACAAAGACCCAACGCAGCCTAATTAATTAATTAATTTAAAAAGTGTTATAGTTTTAGCTTTAACCTTGTAGGTCTAGATTCCATTGGAAATTAATGTTTGTGAAGCCCTGTGGTGAGGGTGGAGACAGAGGCTTATATTGTTTTCTCTCTGGATATCCAGCACCATCGTTGATGAGAACATCCTTGCCCCGTTGACTTACCTTGGCAACTTTGTTACGTGAGTATGGGGTCCATTTCTGGACTCCGTGTAGTGTTTCATTTATCTGTACAGCGACCCCTGTGCTAACATCACACAGCTTTGATTACTGAAGATTTGTGTTAAACCTTGAAATTAGATAATGTAAGTCCTCCAACTTTGTTCCTCTTCCAGATCCTTTCACTTCCCGTAGAAATTTTAGAATCAATTTGTTAATATCTCAAAAACATCTGCTGGGATTTTTAATGAGATTGTGTGGAATCTACTGATTAATTTGGAAAAATCAACATCTTAGTAATATTGTTATCTATC